AAAAAATCTGACGAACTGATAACCTCCTCCTTTTTTGGAAGTCGGTTCAAAATCCCGTGTCACTGTGTTCGTTTACGCTAACCTCCGAAATCACTTCACCGATTTAAATGAAATTTTGTGGGTGTGTATTGTTGGTTCCAACTTAAAAGACAGGATAGTTTCGAACCCGAGAAAAAATATTTTTTTCATCGAAATTTTTCTATGCTTCTCGCAACGTTCTTAAAAGTCCCGTGTCGCTATGTTCGTTTAAACGGTGTTCGCATGAGGCCATTTTGCGTTAAACTTTTGCTTTCAACTCACGCAGGGTTCCACGAAAAAAAAGTTGGATGGCTAAATGTTTCTGGCGACCGACTTTGTTGAAAGCGATTAGTTGAAAGGCATTCAACCGAAAGTAGAATGCAAAGTTGAACAATGCAAACGCCTTTTTATGGCGAATATTTTGATATTTTTTATATTTTAATATTTTTAGCCATTCAATTTTTTTTATGTAACCCTGCGTGAGTTGAACGCAAAAGTTGCCTGGAAAATCGCTTCGTACACTTCGTAACTAACAAACTGCCCATGTCCGAAGCGGGAATTTTCCAATGTTATTCGCGGCGACGCTTCATATGTATGTTTATGTTGGGGAGAAATAGCCTGAACGCGTTGTAATATTTTAGTCAGTATATATTTACGTTCCAAAAATGTTAAGCGGATGGCAACCCTATCAAAAAGTTTTTATTTTTACCTCAATCAGTGAAGCTTTCTTTCAGAATGGTATTTCAATCATTCCATTTGATGAAGTATTACAGAAGTTATGGCGCTTTATTGGCCAGATACAGTTCTTTCAGCTTTTTAAAACCACATCTTTTTTAAAAAATAACTAAATTTGAACAACGTAACTATTTTTCGCATGTCCCTTTTAAAATGCCTATTATTAATTAAATTTGATAAAATATTAAAGGAGATGTCGTTTGGTAACAGAAAAATATATTTTAGAAATAAGTATATAAGTAGATTTGAGTTTTATTTTTTCGCTCAAAGGAAATTTTTTTTGCTGGATTTTTATTTTTTCTATCAAAGTTAATTATTATTTTATAATTTTAATTTCCGTTCAAAGATGATAATTATTATTGCTTTTTATTTTTTTACTTAACAATAAAGATTAATCAAATAACTCAAAACCGTGATTTCCGACGTATCCTTTTCAGAGGTAGCGACATCCTAATAAAAGGAATAAGTCCTAAAATTTTCAGGTCAAAATTTTAGTTGGTTGCGTCTGTGTATGGGCTTTTAAATTTTATAGAAATTTTTTTTTGTTAAATAAAACTCGCTAATCATTTATCTTCGAGTGGCAAAAATAAAAGTCAACTACATAATTATTTTCGTTGAGTGAACTTGCTCAATTTCGTGAATACCCCTATTGTACTTCCATAGTTAGCAGCCTTCTACGTTATAAGTACGGTTACCACGTTTAAGGCAGCCGAATACGGGACAAAAAAAATAAGTTAGCCAATTTTTTCCATAAAAGCTATAGGATTTTAAAACCTTTTTCAATGATCCTAGATTTATTAGCCCTGAAACAGTATATTTTGCATATATTTTTCTATCTTTTGTGAAAGCAGCACATAAATATTCAGTTGTAGCATCACACACTTTACCCCGCAAAATCTGTTATAAACAATGTAGAGAAATATAATGAAAATATCCGATTATTTTTGAAGCACGAGTGGTATTCAACGGATTATTTTCTGACTCGACCCTTTGAAGGGTTCCACTTCCCTTGCATCTTTGAGAACTTCTTAGCCTTCTTATTTGGAGTTCCTCATGTTGAAAAACCCCTCGTACAATCAGCAATAATTTTTTTGGCGTAGTTTCACCCAATAAATATTCTACTTAAAATTACATCCACACCACGGCACGGACAGGTAATAGTACCCGAGAAGCAAGCTATGTGTATTTTGTAGTTGGTTTTGGAATCCATATACGTAAACAATTTTAGAGTAAAATGTAAAGAAAAATTATAATTTAAAGACGAGATTCTCGACATCCGTTATATACATAATATTTTTAAAATGAATTGAATTTAAGATTAAAAAGATGAAAATAAAATTGTAGTTTAAAGAACTAAAAACTCGCTTTTATTACAATGTAAACTAAAAAGTAGAAAATAATTTATAGAAATACAGATTTCATCTAAGTGGAATAGGAAGTTCCCAAACTTGATCTAAATAAACTTTTAAAAGCAACTTAAAATAGTTTAAAGTAATTGACAATAAAATAAATTTTACCGGAAACAAAACGTGGGGTGATTGATATCAATTGTTTCGAACTTTTCATTTACAGTTTAGTAATATTGAATATTGTCAATAGCTGTTTGCCGGTCAAATCAACTTTATTGCCAATTACCTTAATGCTATTTTAGGTTGGTTTTAAAAGTTCAATTAAATCAAGTTAGGGAACTTCTTATTCCTCTTAAACGAAATCTGTATTTCTATAAATTATTTTCTGCTTTTTAGTTTACATTGTAATAAAAGCGAGTTTTTAGTTTTTTAAACTACAATTTTATTTTCATCTTTTTAATCTTAAATTCAATTCATTTTAAAAATATTATGTTATATGCAGAACAACACGCGAAATCAATCGTTGGAATTTTCATTCGTTCCGTTATTAGATATGTAACTTATAATGGAAATTGCTGCATCTTTTGGGCGCATCATTATTTCGTAGTTACATCCCAAGCTAATAAAAGCGAGGTAAAAATTAAAATCATTTTTCACTTAAATGACTTGAGTGAAATTGGCTGTAAGCTCCTAAAAGCATACTGTCGCATTATTACAAAAAAAAACTTAATTCCCATAACAAATTAATATAAACGGCCAATATTCGCAACTAAGTCCAATTAAACATTTAATCTTTTTCGGTCATACTGAACATGTCAATTGGAAATGAAAGGGACTGTTGCTTGGCAGCAATGTGTTTACGAACAAGTTTAAGATGTCTAATACGTGCAACCTGATTAAAAATTTGTATCCTTCCGTGCAAGCGCATACTGAAACTTTCTATCTAGTTTAGTTAAGAAATAAAAGGCATTATTTATATGTTTAGCAATACTGCCAAATGTTTGAGATGAAATTGTCCTAAACATTTACCTGATATCGCCCGAATTTATTCACATGGCTTTGAAGTTAGCTCAATTAGGTACCATGGGGCCTATCACAGAATCCATCGAAGCATACGCTACGTTCGTAGCTATTCGGATTCAGTGATAGCATTTTCGTAGATTTCACGAAAAATCGGTTTACGATGGATTCTGTGATAGCCCTGCATAGCTTCGATTATAAAATGGTTTGACACCCGTCTAAATTAGCATTCTACAAATGCAGTGAAATACATGTAGCGGCCATAATAAAAGTATTTTTGCAAGGATTTAAAGTAAATCCATTTTACTATAAAATAATACTCAAAACTTTTTTCTTTTGCTATTTACACAGGTTCGATAGACGTAACGGAGCTCCAGCTGGTGGAATGGGCGGTATGGGTGGCAATGCTGGTGGCGGCGGCTATCGTGATCAGCAACGCGGAGGTCCAATGCGTGGCAATGGTATTGCACGTCCTCGTCCTGCACCTTATGCTCGCGGTGGCATCGGTGGCAATGGTGCTCCGTTTAGAGGTGGGCCGCCACGTGGCGGCAACAATGATCGTGGAATGAATGGCGGACCCATCAACAATGGCTCACCCGGGGATCGTTTGCCTAATATAATCTGGTCTGAATTAAAATTGTCGCCGTTCCAAAAGAACTTCTATCAACCTAGTACGACCGTTGCCGAACGCTCAAAAACAGATGTGGACGGTTATCTCACAACCAATGAGGTTACTTTGAAAGGTGATAGCATTCCATCGCCCAGCATTGAATTTAGCGAGCCTGGTTTTCCGGACCATGTTTTAGCTGGAATAAAGAAGATGGGATTTGCCAAGCCAACTGCTATACAAGCTCAGGGTTGGCCGATCGCTCTTAGTGGACGGGACATGGTCGGTGTAGCACAGACTGGCTCGGGTAAGACCCTCGCTTATGTGTTGCCCGCTGTGGTACACATCAGTCATCAGGCTCGTTTGGAGCGCGGTGATGGGCCAATCGCTCTCATTTTGGCGCCTACGCGTGAACTAGCTCAACAGATACAACAAGTTGCAAACGATTTCGGTTCCCAGACTCATGTACGCAATACATGCATTTTCGGCGGAGCACCGAAACAACCACAAGCGCGTGACTTGGAACGCGGTGTTGAAATTGTGATTGCTACACCTGGCCGCCTACTCGATTTCCTAGAGCGGGGCGTAACCAACTTGCGCCGTTGTACTTATCTAGTATTGGATGAGGCTGATCGCATGCTAGATATGGGATTTGAACCACAAATTCGGCGTATAATAAAGCAGATTCGCCCAGATCGTCAAGTGTTAATGTGGTCGGCGACATGGCCAAAAGAAGTGCGCAATCTTGCTGAAGAATTCCTTGATAACTATATACAGATTAACATTGGCTCACTAACACTTTCAGCCAATCACAATATACTCCAAATAGTAGATGTGTGCGAAGAGAATGAGAAAGATAATAAGCTCATAAAGCTTTTGTCGGAAATTTCTGCCGAATCCGAAACGAAGACAATTATCTTCGTGGAGACAAAGAAACGTGTCGATGAAATAACCCGTACTATTGGGCGTAGTGGATGGCGCGTGTGTGCTATTCACGGCGACAAGTCGCAACAAGAGCGTGATTTTGTTTTGTCGTCATTTCGTAATGGACGGCACTCAATTTTGGTAGCAACCGATGTGGCTGCACGCGGCCTAGGTAAGACTAATTTTCCTTACATTCCTCGCCGCTGCCGCTATATAGCTGCGGCTACGGCGATAACTTGACTCTTTGATCGTAGCTGCGAGTGATGCTGTGGACGAAATGCTGAAAATTCTATCATTATTACTTTGTTGGTTCGATGGCGAATTATATTTTTTGTCATGATGCGAATCAGCGAAACCCAACGCCTTAATAATTGTTTCGAATGCGTCCAATTAAAGATAAGATGGGGTATAATTATAAGTTCGTTAAAAAAAAACCAAGCGGGTAAAGTTCGGAGTTAAAATTTAAAGCAACTGCTCATAAAAACACTGAATGCAATAATTTTGCGGACGATTCGCTGAAAAAGGTGTGGGTAAATAATGAGGAATGTGTATTTCCATACATTACTGTCAGGTTACGGGTCATATTAATTAACTAGGATTGTATTTTGTATGTTTATGTACCTATATAAAAAAGAATAGTGTCAGTCAAGGAAACTGTGGCCGCAAAATCTGAATAGAATAGTACATTTTAGCGGGCGTGACTGTGCTTATCATGACAGCTGTTTGGTTACTTAAAAGGACTACTTATGTAGGAGTTATGACTGGCTACTTATTTTATTATAATTCGTCATTTAATTTGTTTAGAATCAAAGCAGTAACTGATACATTTCATATAAAAGTTAAAATCAAAAAACAATCGTTAATTTCCTGCTGTAAAATCTTATTTAATGCCAAGACTTAAAGCGTTGCTTACGATATAAAGGCTTTTCAGCGTTTGTACATACGGAAGTCGGTAAGAGTCAAATCTGTGCCATTAGATCAGCAGCAGTCATTAGCATGGTTAGGGGGACAATCACTTGCGGGTTTCAATAATTAGAAAAACAACGCACATTGTTCAGAGTTTGGGCCTAATAATTTTTGACTGGCAGTTGCATTTTTTCAGTTATTACAATTTATGTGTGAACAAAAATATCAACTTCACCGTTTCTTCAAATGGACTTCGATTTTTTCTTGTATATAACTATGAAAAAGTTTATAACTTCCTAAAATGTTTCAAATGCGAAAACACGGCCTATCGGAACAAATGCTAAAATCTGTTTCTGCAGTTTTGTTTTTGATAGCTAACAAATCATGCTTGATAAAGAAAAGCTAAATTCAGATTTAGTATTTATTAGCAATAAATAAACACTTAGGTTATATATAATTTACCAAAAAAAGGCAGTAATGTAAATATGCCATAGCTAAAAAAAAAGTAAACGCGCAAATGCTGTGCTTCAAGTTCGGCTTAAACCATCCGGCGCGCATACGTACTATATGTGTGCTGGAGTCAAGTTGGGTAATAAAAATATGGGAGCTCACTGCAAATACCTATTGTGTATGTAAAGACATTGCGAGTACGCTTAGCTCGTGCTTGCGTTCTGTGCGCTCGCTTGTTTGCTTGTTCAACATCCTTGGTTTTCTTCTCACCCTACCACAGCTGCGCTCAACACATCCCTTAGTTGTAAATTCAGGTCTGTGCCGGAATTCGGTAAGTACATTGCTTTCTCTTCTCATTAAAGTCATTCAGAAAACCAATTATTATTTCTGTCTGCTTTTGGTTGTTAGTCTTTTAAGTATACTATATGAATTAAGCTTCCAACTCCGTGTATACTGCCTACGCATTTTAATAAAATGACTTTATAATTTCAAAAATCTTTAATACCAAAGAAATTGAAAAATTTAAGAAACATACAAGCATACAATGAAAAAATCGTTGAAGGTCGAGGTCCACTTAAAAATATTGCAAAACTCCAATCATGCCAATTAAATTATAAAGTTGTAAAATATTTCACTTTTTTTGCAATGTTGGAGAAATTTTTGTTCAATTTATATGCTATGATGTATATTTTTGCCAGCGTGCAAACTCTAAATAAATATTTTTAATTTTCGACGTTTGCATCGAACGAACGCGAATTAACGACTATTCCTACAACGCACGTCGTTCAATGCTTTTAAACCCCTAAACTGAACAGATGTTGACGATGTTAAATTCGTAATTAATTACGATTATCCTTCGAATTCGGAGGACTACGTGCATCGCATCGGGCGTACAGGGCGCTCGAACAATACGGGAACGGCATACACCTTGTTTACCACTTCAAACGCTAACAAAGCTAATGACTTGATACAAGTGCTGCGCGAAGCTAATCAGGTAAAAAAATTCAAAAATTATACATCCAATAATAAAAAAAAAAAAAACTTTCGTATTACATCTAACACACTTTGTGCTAACAATTTTTTGTGTGGTTATTTCTTTTTTATGTACTTTTTGCAGGTCATCAATCCACGACTTGTTGAGATGGCATCATCTTCGGGCTATAATAATAAACGCAACTCGCGTGGTGGCTATCAGAATCGTGGTGGTATGGGTGGTGGTGGTGGCTACGGCAATCGCGGTAATCGCTCTTATGGTAACAATGCTGGCGGCATGGGTGGTGCTCAATCATATCAGCAGCGTCCACCACAAATAGCTAATGGTGGCCAAATGTATCAACGTCCAAGTGGACCACCTTCTCGATTCTCAGCCGCTCCTCAAGCTGGCTACGAACGCAACCAGCACACCGGTGGCAATAAGCCTTATGGTGCCGGTGCTGGAGCCGAAGGTGGTGATAAGCGACGTTTCAATCCCCAGCAACAACCGCCACAGCAGTCTTTAGGTTATCAGCAGCAACCCCCGCGCATGTCATATGGTGGCAATAATGCACACCATCAACCGCCGCCAAATCACCGGGCGGCAGGCAGTGCTGCTGGTGCATCCGGAATGTACGCACATGCACCTCCTTCTCATCATTCAGGAGGCAGTAACTATGCCGTTCCCTCTGGATTTGGAGCGGCGTCCGGCAGTAATATGTTTGCTTATCCTCCGCCCCCATTGCCCGCGCAAAACTAAAAACCCATAATATAGAAGTAATTTTAACATCATCAGTAATTTAAAACGTAATGAATTAACTTCTGCACTTGGCATTTGATTAGATTAAATTATGTTATTCTTGTGTGTGTGTTGTACTAATGTACGCCAAGTCATAGTACGCAAGTGTTTTGTAGCATGACGCGATATTTGAAGGAGATCCGCACTGCAATGCTTCAGTTCAATTTAAACGTACCGGAAATACTACTTGTTTGGGTGGTTGTTTTGGTTCAACATTTATTTCTAAGCTGTGCACATGACGGAATTATACCAGGTGAAGTAATTAGAGCGAGAAGAAAGATTTTGACACTGCCTTATTTGAAAAATTGCCTTTAAAATTGAACTATAAGGCAGCCGAATGACAGAAAATAAAGCGAGACAGCTGTTTTATTACTTCACCTGTTTATTGCGCTATGAGCTGTGCATTTCTTTTACTTTACTTCTTATTTGATTGTATTGTTGCTGTCTCTGTTTCCCTTTTTTTTGGATAATTTACACATCTTTACACCGCAACTTCGTGACAAAGGGCTTTTCCAAAGTTCTTGCGCAAGCCTGCACTAATTTTTATTTAATTTTGGAAACTTTTGCAAGAAATGTTTTTTTTTTTAACCGAAGAGCTATGATTTTTTCCAATGCAGAGTTTTTATCTCCAGTATAGATCCCGGTTATGACATCGAGCATACAGCTATATTCATTACATCAACATAAATGATCACGTTCATCAAACTTTAAAAATACATGCTAGTTATTACAATATATTAACATAGTTGAAGTGAATTGTATTCCTTGGATTTTAATGGACATATTAATGTTTACGTACCATAAAATTTAAACAAATATACTTCAATAAAAGTATACACATAAATATGCCTAACACATGGTATATTTAAAACCCCTATACAAATATCTTTTGAACTTTCAAAATATGGGGTGAGTTCAGAAATGCATCAAGCCAAAGCATCAGTCTCTTTAACTTCTAAATTACAACTGATGCAAATGCCTTATTTGCGCATCTAAGTTCCAATTGGGCATTTAACCGTGGTTGCGCATATGGCATATTTCCATCTATTACAGTTTAGAAATAAATGCGTCTGATGCGCTGGCTTGATGCATTTCTGAACATATCCATGGCTGATAAACGGATAGTAAGTATTTATGAAGAGAATAAGGCTGACTTCCAAAACGTATCAATAAAATGTTTGGATACTGTTATACTGCGGCATTCAAACTGTTTTTTTTTATGCAAAGTTGCGAAACATTGCAACCACATACATTGCATGTTTTAAATATTCAATATAACAATATTCTGAATATTCCATTTTTAAAACACCAATGGTAACCAAAAACTAACGAAGCATCAACTTTGTTTCTGACTTGCTGATTTCTCTAGCGATGCGTTTCGATAACTTTTCGGATGCGTTTTTGGAAAATTATACGTTGTCACTATTTTGTAGTTCGGCGTTATGGAACATTATACTTTTTACGTATGCAAAGCAATTGACGTTTTGGAAGTCAGCCATACTTTGACGATAAAAATCAATTTTCGGCCACCCTCTGACGACATAACGCGTCTTATAGATTTGTAGATATTCATATTTAAAAATTTTCTTTTAACATAGGCCCCTATTATGAGTTGCATTCGATTTTCGACTGTGGTCGAAAGTGCTGAGCGAAAGAATTTTCATTTGGTATTATGGCGCTCATTCGATGAAGAATAGCGCTATTGTGAATTTCGCTCGTTTAGGTTGTTCACAATAGTATATTTTTCACCGCTGAGAAGCTTTGTTTACAAATCGAGCAAACTAAATAGTGTGCTTATACATATTTATGTAAATTTGTTCTAATTAAAATGAAGTAAAAAAGAAAGCAAGTTTATAAAAACGTGGTAAAATGAGTACAACGAGTTCTGGTTCAACGATTCGTCAGAGGATGAGAGCTTAGTAAACTGGCCAGGAGTAGCAAATGTTTAAGAGAGTATAAGTTTATTAGTCTTTCGAATATATTTTGATATAAAATATATTTAAGAAATTTGTCTACAGATTCATTAAAAAGTTCCGACCATCTAAAGAAGCGTTTGTGCGCCAAATCTATTTAAAATATTTTAAAACTATCAACAGCGTTACGATTTTGTTCTCAGAGGTCGTGCCAACAGAGTGTTGGGATTTTCTTTCCCAAGTAAAACCAGCCTTTCGAGCTTGTGTTTAGTATTCACGACGTTAGAACTGCATGAAATTAATAAAAATTGTTTAAAATTTGTGTCTAGCCGCCAAAATGTAAGAAAACATATACAAAATCATAAATTTTTCACAATTTTCTAACACTTCGCTACACCATCGAAAGCAAAATTCTGTTCGACAGAAAATTCGATACTCAACGAAAATTTCGACACGCTTGCATAGCTCATAATACGAATTTCACTTTCGATCTTCGATCTTCGATAGCCAGCGAAGATCGAAAATCGAATGCAGCTCATAATAAGGGCCATAATATTTGAAATTTTTGTATGGAAATGATGGAAAAATTAAAAATTTTCGACTCGTACGAAAACAACAATATGCCCTTATGTTAAAAGAAAATTGTTAAATATGAATATCTACAAATCTATAAGGCGCGTTATGTCGTCAGAGGGTGGCCGAAAATTGATTTTTATCGTAACGCTACGCGCACACTGCCGAATTGTGCTCGGCCGATATCGGCTATATACGGGCGATATGAATAAACACTTGTAATTATATGAGCGCTCTCACACATAAACCGATAATCGAACCGACATCGGCCGTTGACGTCCGTCAGTGACGATAAATTCAAACCAGTGTTGGCATTTTTGGTACAATTGTACTTTTTAAATACAATTTCGTTTACAATATACATATATGTAATACTTCTATATATTATAAATTGCTAGTACATTCAAAGTACATTCCCCAACATCAGAGTGTCGATATATTAAAAAAAGAAAGAGAGATCCGATAAGAGAATCATATATGTAATACTCCTATATTGGCAGTAAGAGCTAGTACCGTCCGAAAACACTACAGTACAGATATATCAATAAACACGTACGAAAGAAAAGGAAAACATACGTTTATAAATAAACCTGTACACAACACATATACAAAAACGGCACTCAAGTACACAATACATTGACAAAAACGGTACTAGACTGTCCCGCTTTGATTTCGGAATGCTTATACCATGTCCCCACCAAAAAGTTAACCATCTCAAATCGAACTTAACCACCTCACTAACTATTGCTGTCCACACTGCGGATTGAGGTTTATAAAACAGTACAAATGTAAAGAACAGTGTTCGGACGTCCCAAAAACGGATCAGGACTAAATTGCTGCAAAAATCGGAGAAAAAACAAATTTTCCGTACTAGATTGAATTTTTGTTACTGACATTAATTGTTTGACTAAAATATTTTCTATTCACGCAAAATAAATACCTACGCGAGGCAATTTAAGGATATGTTACATATTTTGGTAATTTTTAGCATTTTCTATATAGTAGAACGTATCTAACACTTAATTTTTAAAAAAGCAAACCTTTTCTACTTTATATAAATTTCATTCTACATGTATTTTTTAACAACTTAAGTTAAGTTCTGCATCCGCCAATTTGTACAACAACAACGAAGTTGCAAAACAAAAACAACGAAGTTACTTTATTGAGGCATTGCTATGAAAGAGTTACTTTTTAACAGTGAGATTTGGCTAGCTTTCATTTTTTTTTACTGAAACTTGTGGTGAACACTCAAAAAACAGCCCCAAGAGGGGCATAACATGAATGAAAAAAACGGAATTGATTTGAAGTCAAGCGGAGTAGAGGACTTGATTTCAAATATTTTTAAAAACCGGAGTAAATCTAATCTGATTTTAGCTGAGTCCAAACAATAGTAGGGAACGAATTCTTTACATTTTAACGCTAATGACCCACAGATGGCGGGAAAACACAGGGTTGTATCAGACTTTCGACGTGGTTTCGAGTTGGTTAGCTTTTAACCATCTCAGTGAAATGGTTAAGTGCTGTCATTTTTATATGGCGAAATTACGCTAAATCAAGTGGGTTATCGGGATAACCAACTCAATAGCCATAACTACGTGGTTAGCTCCGGTGGGGACATGGTATTACACATTGAGAAGTTAGCTTACTGCCAATATAGAAGTATTACATATATGAAGAGAATGTACCCAAAACGACAATTTTACTTTTCAAAATTCAGGAGCGGATTAACAAATATTCACTGAAAAAAAATTCATTCATATAAAGAAAAAATGTAAAACACTGAACAATAAAACCACACGGCTTCATGCGTAAGTAAATTTTTTCTGGCTTGGAAACAATAAAACCATTAACCATTTTTCAGTTTTCCAAGGAACGAAGAGCAGCAGAGAAAGTGGAAAAATGCATTTCAGTGCTGCAGACTACAAAGCCACTCTAAACGTTAGGTACTTTCGAGATGATGCTTCACCATCATTGTTGTTGCCAGCACAGGTAATACAGCAATCATTCACCTCTATTCAGGGCTGTCATGGAATCCAAGTCGGTTTTGCTTTTTGTCGGAATTACAAACCAATACTGGTTTCATTTGGTGTCATGAAACTGGATTGGTTTTGCTCTTTTCGAACATAAACAAAACCGATGTTCGAATCAGCTGTTTTGCACATTTGTGTGTATGGCGGCAATTTGAATGTACATTTTTTTGATACAATTTTTTAAAAATGAATTGTTTTCATTAATTTAAATAAAAATAAGTGAGCGCAAAATGACATCCGCAGTTGTCGCATTTCTGTTATTGGAAGAAGAAAGTTCCGAGAAGGTTAAAAGAAAAATTTTGAGAGATTGCGGCGATCCACTTGAGCTGCCCGAGACAGCGTAAGTAGATTGTTTTTTAATGTGCGTTTATAAATATTTATAGCGTATTTGCAGTTTCATAGCATATTATCGCGTAAACAAGGAGGCTTTCCGAATGGTACTTGACACCATTGAAGGGCACGTGACACATTCGAAAGTTCCTCCAGTGCTGCAGTTAGCAGCTTCGTTGCGATTGAAACTAGAAATGGACTGCGTCGAAAAACGCAGATCAAGAGACTATTTTTACTTAAAGTACAAAATTCCCTCAATAATTGGTTGCATCGACGGGACACACATAAAAATCATTAAGCCCAGTATTGACGAACATTTATGTTATAATCGAAAATATTTCAGTATGAATGCCCTGATTGTAAGTAATCATGAATCTTCATTTTACTCGTACATTGCTTTGATTTATATATATGCATGTACATTTTTATTTAGATTTGTGATGGTGACATGAAAATTCGAGCGGTCGATGCACTCTATCCGGGCTCTAGCCATGACTCATTCGTATGGAACGTTAGTAGCGCCAGACATTTTTGGAAAGCATAAAAAGTGGATGAATAAAAATATGAATACATTAACAATTATTTTTATAAAATGAACCTTTTACTCACATTTTTATAAAATGTCCAACTGGAAGTAAGAAAAACTAATAAACAAATGAAATCCAAGAGCCGTTAGCTGCTTGGTTTGTTTCCGATACCAAAATCGATATTATTGGTTTCTGTGACACCTAAAATCGACACTAATTCCGATTCGAACATAAAACCGATAACATTGGTTTTCATGACACCAAAGTAGTTTTTTTGTCGTTTTTAAATCCAATTCCGACAACAATTGGATTCCATGACAGCCCTGATTACAAAAGAGCTGAGCTTCAGGCTCACTCGTCGCCGCTACTAGAACTGCAGGTACAAACTGTCTGCATGTGGATGACTGTCAAACAACGCCGCTGCTACTCGAATCGCGTCAGCCAATAAAGCAACAGATGCCGCAATTTTCAAAAGCTAACTTCCAAACTCATGCGAATTTCAATTCTGGTAATCACTTTCTAAGGAGCATCAGTACTCCAGAGAAACGTCACTTTAAAGATCCGCGATATGTCAATGAGATTTTACTAAGGGATTTTGCCACTCGTCGTGCAAGCCGCGTTATTAAGCTGGTAAAAAATTCGATTGAAAAGAAGAATAAAATAATAAAGAAATTACAAGACAGCAAAAGACATTTTCGAAAGAGAGTGACATGCTTAGAGGAGTTGGTTACACATTAACGAGAAAAAAATCTTATTACCTCGGATGTGGAAAAAATAATTGTAACACTCACGCTTTTTTCAAATTTAGAACCTACATACATACATATCGCACGTTTAATAACACTGTACGGAAAATCGCAAGTCTTAAGACGACACAGAAAAAAGCGAAACACATAAACTAAACTTTCAGTCGTCGATTATGAATATCTATTTTGTTTTTCTAGATCGGGTCCTTTTTCCAAGATAATTTTATGATAAAAAATCAAATTTTAACAGGGAAAAAATTAAAAAAATTAACGGATAGTTAGAAAACTTTTTTGATTTGTATTAAAGCCTGTTCCTTTACAAAAAAATCTAGCTGCTAACAAAGAAAATCGAAGAATATGAGCAGGAAAGATTGTTACTTATACGCCATGTACATTGCCATACTCGTACATGGCGTATGAGTAGCATTTTCCACGTTAAAGTTTGATTTTTTTTTATTCGCAATGCAAATTTAAAAGGTAAATATCTTGAGAAAATGACCTGATCTAGAAAAACGGTATAGAGATCCGTAATCTACGACCCAAAATTAAGTTTACGTGTCTCGGCGTTTTTTGTGTCATTTTAGCGTTCCTACAGTGTAATATATAGAATTATTTCAAAATTTAAATTTTTCGAGAAAGCTCAATCAAAGTTTGATCAGTTCACATAGTTGGTATACAAAAAGACTGATGGAAGGACACATATCTTCGCCATTTTTGGGAAGTTTAGTTGTCTGGTAGACGGAACACTTTCTTTACCAATCTCATTAATTGTATGATGAAATCTGCAAAAACATAAATTTGGAATTACTTCTCTATATTACTAAACGTGCAATATATGATTCGATACGTCAATGGTCGCGATTTTGTTTCAAGTTATAAATTTTCGGGTTATCAAACAGTTGGCTTTTAAACTTTAGTTTCAAATTTACAAGTTATACAGGTTCTACCGAGATACGACGTACTTCATTCACCCTCATTGCGAGAGTCGTGTCGAATGCAATTCGTTTTTCGAGAGTCGAATCGTATCGAAAATGTTACGTTATTGCCCAAAATTTCCACTCGACTAGTGTATTAAAACGGAAAAACTTGGCAGAACTGTATAGTTTTCGACGATTTTGGTCGTTTACTTATTTCAGTACGACAATAGACAATGCTACTGTTGTCGAGTCGTACAATTTAGCCTAATTTACGACTTACGCAATGAGGCTGATTATATTTGGTATAAACTGTGCCTTTAACTACACATTTTTTTATGTAGGATTTCATACCCGATAATATAAAGGAGATGATTACAAGAAAATTGGTTGGCTCAAGATGGTATTCCCAGCAAATTAGAAGATTTGCTTTGACGCTGCACTTTTACTCTCCTAAAGCATATAAGTACGTTCGGGAAACTTGGAAAAATATGTTTCCAAACCCCTCCACACTGAGAAGTTGGTACCAGAACGTCGATGGCTCACCAGGTTTCACGCAGCAGGCATTAGAAGCAATATCGAGGCGCACCAAGGTCTCTAAACCCGTATTAGTGAAACTTGTTCTTGACGAAATGGCGATCAGAGAGCAAAGAATTTATGATCGAAATGGTTTCAAAGGGGGCGTGGATTTAGGCATCGGCGACGGACACGTTGAAGATGATTCTATTCCCTCTGCAAACAGCGCTTTAGTGTTCATGGTTGTATCCTTGAATGACCCTTGGAAGATTCCAATTGGATATTTCCTTATTCGCTCTCTACGTGGGGAGGAGCGTCTCAGTTTGGTGGTTGAAGCTCTTCATGCATTAAAAAACTGGAGCTTACCAACAAAGTGCACCAACAAATCTAGCCATGTGTATAAGCTTAGGGGCAAATTTCACGTATGGCCCAAAATTTGATCCTACTTTTGTAGTCGAACGCTCGTTGCGAGATGCATGGTGAGGCTGATATACATCGTCGCCTGGGTAAAAGATTGTCGTAAGCGCCATTTTGACGATTTTTAGTTCTAGATGCAGTTATATATTTTGAAATAAGGTCTTTCGTTTGGTGTTATCAGTTTTTAGATATCTCCTTTAGTTTCCGAGATATTCAGGCATGTTCTGCAAATCGTACGATTTCAAATCGGTGCGATTTCCGAAGTATTGTTGTATATTTGTAATCAAAGTAGTAAATGTTTTAAATGGAAACTCCTGGAAACACACCATTTACGTTATATCCATCGTTTTAGTGCCTAATTTTTCCCTCTTTATTATAAAACCTCCGAAATAGATTTTGTAAATCGCACCGATTAGAAATCGTACGATTTGCAGAACACGCCTGAATGACTAAAATTTTTTCGATAATTTACTAAAAATTTAGTTAGTGATGCAGCCATATTAAACTAATCAATATCTTAAAAATGGCGTTCTCCATTTTTGGATATCTCCTTTAGTTTCCGAGATATTGAGTAAAAAGTGTCGTTAATTTGGTAGACATTTTGATCACATTTTGTCGTATTTCATACAAAGTGGCTGCCAAATTGTGGACAAATGACGCTTACGGCAAAATTTTACTAAAGAAAATCCTTCATAAACTCAAAACTAATTAACAATAAACATTAAAAAATAAATAATTAAGAATTTTGTGAACTAGTAACATTTTCAGACTTTGGAGAAAATCTATCTTCGCGTTTTTGAGAAATTCCAAACTTCAATCACGATTTTCCACAACCTGCCGAAATTAACATACGACAATCTTTTACCCAGGCGACGACATGGGTTTCGACGTTGCATATTTTGCAGCGATAGGAAATTTTGTTTCCCATGTGTTTTGTTGTGTGTTTGCAAGTTATGCAATCCGTGCTACGTGCAATGGCTTAGCAAGATTTGGAGAATACCCCTAATGTTCCATAACGCCGTACTCCAAATGGTTGACAATGTATACTTTTCCAAAACGCATCCGAAAAGTTATCGAAACGCATTGTTAGAGTAATCAGAAACAAAGTTGATGCTTCGTTTGTTTTTGGTTGCGTTTGGCGTGGTTAAAATTGAAAATTACGGAAGGGTATTAATTGTTATATTGAATATTCAAAATATGCAATGTATGTGGTTGCAATGCTTCGCAACTCTGCATATACAAGCAGTTTAAATACCGCAGTATCCAAACAATGTATTGGTACGTTGTGGAAGTCAGCCAAACTCAGGGCCAGAAACATACACATGCTGCGTATGCTAGAGACGATTGCACACTAACTCTACCTCGGTCACGTGCAGTACCTGCACCACCTCCGCACTTGCTCTGCCTTAAGAACTCACCGGCAGTGGGCTATGTCCTACGTGGCCCAATGCTGCGCTGATCGGACCGCCTCCACGGCACCTAGAGTTCGCCCGAGCATGACAACATTAACACAACCACGCCTCTACACAACACAAAAATAGATACACACATTCAGACGTAACCGCACCATTTGGTATTCAAGCCTGTCGAACGATTGGAGGGGAACGCACTTAGCTGAGCAGATAGACGATTCGAAATTCTTTACAGTGAACGGCGACGCACCCACCAGAATTATGGGCAGCTGCAGTAGCTCGCCTGACAACAATCGTAAGCTCTGGTCTGATAAACAGCTTAACGTGGCGACCTTACTGAAACGGCTGTTCCAGCCGATGAGCGTGACAACCTTCCTCAGGCTGATCCCGGAAATCTCCCATCAGGGATCTTAATACGGAGATTCGGAAAGCGGAACAAAAGCGGATTTGGGAAGAGCTCCTGAAAACTGGCAACTTCACCTCTGGGGTTTGAGCAAGCTTTGGTCAACCGTGGGGACATTGTTCAACCCGATGAAACGGAACGACAGACACCCCTATTGCGAATGTCGACTGGCAGTAGATAAACCATGAACGAAAGACACAAGATCACGCCTTAAGGAAAGAAAGAAAAAAGTTATTTTCTAGCTGTTGAAATCTCGACGCCATCTTTGTTGTAAGAAGTAAACAACGAAGAGAACAAAAAAAAACGCGTAATTGTTGAACGCATGAATAATAGGCATATAACTTTTTACAATTTTTGCAAATACGAAAAACGGCATACCATAGTCGAATAGAGCATAAAAAAGTATGAACCCCCATTATTTTTTTTTTTTGCGAAATTGCAAAAAAGTTTCCGCGCAAAACGAAATTACTTTTTTATCAGAACTGCTGAAAAAAACAAAAAAAGTTTTGTACAGTGTACACGTTTTTCTTCATAATAATAGATATTTATTTAACTAATAATCTTCCTATTATTCCAAACGCCTTTTAATGGACCTAAGGGAAGTGCCCCACCCACCCCAAACTAATTTTTCTTCAGAAAATTCTGATTCAATATTAAAAAATTTAAAAAAGAAAAAGCAATTTATTCAAGAACTCGCATAGTCAAATAACAATAACACAGCTGTAACATCTGCGCAGAGCGTGCAATTAAAATTGTGCAAGACATTTTACCATTGTGTAAATCATCACATACTTTAAACCTAAAACTTATTTCATATAACAATTGACAAAAATGTAAAAATAAAAATATTAAAAAAAATTTAAAAAAAATCTGACTTTTTTTAGAAATCCATTTTTGCGCGGAACGTTTTTGAACCGAAATCACCTAAAAAAGTGATATTCATTACTTGTACAATATTTGCCACCACGTGGTGGTATGCCAAATTTTTCGTCAACATTTGTTATATGCCTAATGAATAATCATTTTTATTATGCAAATTCTCCTATAAATCATGTCGTTGTGTTAAATTATTCTTTACCTTATGTGTGCACACGTTGTCACAAGCGAAAATTAAGAAAATTGCAGTAAAAAGCCACCACCAAATTGTAAACAACGAACAAATGTAAACAAACGGCTTATGTCAAAATCGCCCTACTTTTTTCATAAGTGCATTATAACGGGCCACTCTTCTGCTGTCGTGATCTTGTCTTTTTGGTTCATGGTAGATAAACGAATATTAAGCGATTATCGATTACCGATGCTATTGTGAGTGTCGCGTAGTCGCTAATTGACTGTAAATACTTTTTAATCGCTCATCCTTCTATTGCTGTTTTTTAGTCGTTGGAGTTTGATGTTATAAAATTTACATAAGAAAGTGGTACTATAATGGATAAAAAATAAGTCAATTAAACTGGAAGTTGTAAGAAATTGTGAAATATACATACAGTGACTCAAACATATGACCAGGTGTTTTTTTTTAATATTTGTCATATTTTTCCAGCTAATTTTTTTTTGTTATTTTTATATAAAAAATATCGTCTAAACTTTAACCAAAACCGTGTAAATCAGTTTCACACTTTATACAAAATTTAGGAAAATTCAACAAATTTTCATTAAAATTTCAACTTTTTATTCTGATTTTTTAGAAAATTTTTGGGTATGCAGTTTTATAACCCATACAATTTTAGTCCAATGAAGTGCAAGTTTCATACGGCTAAAAAATCGCGTTGATTTTTGAGATTTTTTTTTAGGCTACTTTTTCGAATTTTTTAATATAACAAGCGCAATTTACAAAAACTTGCGCTGATATTTTGAAATTTTGTTGCTGACGGTCTCCAGCGTTTTATTTCATAAGAAATTCATACTTATTTAAAAAAAAAGTTCAAAAATCCGTCACCGAAAAAAATTTCTCAAAAAACAACGCGTTTGAAAATGTGATTTACACGGTATTGGTCAAAGCTTAGACGACATTTTTATGTAAAAATAACAACAAAATTTAGTTAAAAAAACATTACGAATATTTGAAGTCCTATTAGTGTACTTATTCATGATCCATAAAAATTAGTGCAAATGAGCACTTA